CCTCCACAGCTCACAATGTTGTTGGTTGCAAGTGGGTTTTTCGAATCAAGCGAACTTCCGATGGGTTCATTGAGCGCTACAAAGCCCGTCTTGTCGCAAAAGGCTTCCACCAACATCCTGGTGTTGACTATTTTGAAACCTTCAACCCAGTTGTTAAGGCTTCCACCATCCATATTGTTCTATTTTTTGTTGTTTCTTCTGGGTGGCAACTTAGGCAACTTGGTTTTAATAATGCCTTTCTGAATGACACTCTCAAGGAAGATGTTTACATGGCTCAACCATCAGGTCCTTAATAACCACCTTGATGTTCGGTATATTTCCTCTGTTGATCAGGTCGCCGACTGCCTCACCAAACCTCTTGTCCACTCTCAGTTTGCGTATCTGTTTTCCAAACTCGGGCTGTTTTTCCCACCCTCTCGTTTGCGGGGATGTTACGAAGTGCAAGTCACAAGACCAACAACTAACTCCATGATCTTGTCAAAGTCAAGTTATATTCTTAACACAATCTCTCATTAGTTTTGTTTTCTAAATTTAGTTCTCTCACTTCTCTATAAAAAGGTGGGAGCTTACCCTATAGAGACACACAGAAATCAAATCATAAACTCATTCTTGAGTTACTTCTTTACTTTGCGTGTTAATTGTTAACTCTTTAACATGCACGATGTCTCCTTTGGATCTGCCCCTCTCTCCTTGTTTTAATTCTTTCCATTTATCTATCCACCAACTCCCGAATAATGCTTGCACTTGCATTTTGGATGAGTATTGTATCTTTTTATTTTCTCTTGAATATCTTCATAGAATTTCATGAACACATCGTTTCAATTAAAATATTATATTGAAAAGTAAAGCGTTATTGAGAGAAACAAATTAAATATCTAACAACCAGAACTTTAATATATCAACAAGGCTGTATAGCCGGTTGTTTTAAATGAATAATTAATTAAAAAAAGTACATATAAATATTACAATATACACCAAGTTGTTCTTAAGCGTAGATAATGACTCATTCGAAGTTTTCTTTTTATTATTTATTTACCATTATTCTTTTATATCCATTAGTGTGGGGTAATTTACACGAGCTTTGATTTATTTCTCAGAGCAATCGACTAATTCCACAATATTTGGTGTCAGAAAACATACAGAATTAATTCTTAAGGTGAGTGACCAGCATGGAGTTTGAACTCATTACTTTCGATTTACTCGAGTTCTTTAAAACTCATTTATTCAAACTTATTAGAAAGTTCATTTAAAAGATCTCTATTTGATGTTTTTTCTTAATACTACAAAGTCAATACTGCCGTAGTTTATTTTTAGATCAATTTATAGACATGTAGAATGACAAAAAAACATTGCTTCTATCAATTGTGTAGCACTATAATCAGGAGCGGAATTATGAAGGGTCGAGGGGCTGGAGCCCCCCTGGCTTTCTAGATTTACTATACAAAAATACACCATAATTTATCATAATCATTTGTAGTGTGGTGTTAAATGTATACCTAGCCTCTCTGCCGCGCGCTCCATGTTCCAGTTTCCAACTTGTTGCCTTTTTTTTTTCTTTTTTCTTTTTTTCTTTTGCTTTTTTATTAGGTTTTCTTTAAATTTATGCTCCACCTATCGCGCCTGTGTTTGAATCTACCCTTGGACATTTTTATTTTCTTTTATTTTTTGATGAAAGTTTTTATTTTTATTTTCTTTTAAGGTAATTCTAATTTTTTATTCAGTTTGACGTGAGTTTAATATAAAGATTTTTTTTTTGTCAATTTTATTTTTAAATAAGAAAAACAAAATCAAATCCATTTTTAAAAAATGAAACATGAAAATAAAAAGAGATGGTAAATTTTTTATATAAATATGTCAATTTTTAATAAAAACTAAAATAAGAGAAATAGTTTTTGAAACATTTTAATCATAATTTTAAATTGGATAGCTATTACCTACTCTTCTAAGACTAAAATAAATTATTTTAATTTGTAGATCATTTATGTCATATTTGTTTTTTTCTAATTGTTGCCCACAATTTCAAGACTGATTTTTGTTTTCAATTTATACATTATGGTTACATAATAGTTAATGTTTTTTCTATAAATTATTGGACTAATATTTTTTTTCTTCTCTTTAAATCATCGTTTTTTATATTAAATTGTTCTGACTTTATATAATTTTTAGTTTCAATTTTTAGAAAAGCTAAAGAAGTCGACAATTTAGATATTAATTGTTTAATGTACATTTTTATTAATTTTACACTATATATACTATGAATTTAACTATTCAAGGTAATTTTAAATATAATAGTTGTTAAAAACTTAAAAATAGAATATAAAATTGTTATGTTTGAATTGCTTTTATACCTATAATTATTATCATTCTTATTTTATTATAGCTTCTTGTAAATTTAATTTGGAATCTAAGTCACAAAGATATTATAAAAGAAAATTGATTGGGTTCATCATCTCCATTTAAGAAAATTAATAGTAATTTTGGATAGATATAATTGTTAATTACAAGGGTAATATTTAATTTGAGATCACATTCTTATAGCATATTTACAAAATAACTTGTCAACTTCAAAGTCATACTTTTATAAATTTGTGAATGATTCACTTAAAAATTAGTATAAAGTTGCCCTCAACAAAATTTATAGATCGGACTATAATTGTGAAAATCAAATTGCTTCAACTTTTGCATCTCTTTTTTGCTCAGTTTTTTCCTAAATCATGAAAATGTGTGTACATATATACTTCTCACAGACCTTCAATATAATAATTTAAGTTTATAAAAGATTATTTTAATTTAAGTTTATACATTCGAAAAGGTTTTATAAGCATAAAATTCAATTTTTTATATATATGATCAATTGTCATAGTGATCGTCGTGTGTGTGTATATATATTTATTTAATTATTTATTTATATTTTGCACCCAATATATAACTTCTCCAAGGCCATGCACGTCTAATTTTTGAATTTTTTATATAAATGGGTATTCAATGCATAATGGTAAACTATAAACCTTTTTAATTCTTTCTCAGTCTGGACACAAAATTTAAATTACTTATTGAGAGAACATATTTTAAAAAATCAATTCAGAAGTATAAAAAGAAATCATAAAAAGTCAAAGATGTCAAAAAAAAAAAAAAACACATATTTTGAAAAAATCATTGCAAAATATAAAAAGAAAATAAAATAAAATCAAGCCAAATGGCAGGTTCGAACACGGGACGCTAGGAAGGAACAATCGGAATATCCAGGGCGTGAAGCTGCCAAGGGAGCAAAAAATAATCTTGATAAATTCTGTATACAATGTTAATATATATTATAAATTCCAGGGGGCACGTCCAGGATCCGCCGGTGCCTATCATCACGGCTAGCCATGGCTCATGGTTGGTCAATGAGCTTTCATGAGTTATCCTAGAAGTTTAGTCACTTTTATTCGGTTTCTAAAAATGAAAAATGCAACCGTAAGTCTATGTTTTGTATTACTTGGAGTTTGGATGTTTTTTTAACCAAATTTGAATTATATTAGCAAAAAGATATGTCATGAGGCTACAAATTAGTGAAGCACTCGATTAGGAAAGCTACCTATACATAATTTCCTGTATTCAATGGGGGCTTTTTCGTCAAATCAAAGCGTACGTGGCTTTTACCCATGTGGGAAAGTAATTTACCTCAAATGTTAGGGGCAGAGGCGTCATTTCGGAAGCGGGAGAATAATAAATGAGTTTTTACAGAAAAAAAGGAGAGCGCACAGTTACCACCGGTCCGGAGAGAGTGGGGTTTGTTTTTCCTCTGGCGGTAATCGAAATAATTTTCCATTTTAGGAAAAAAACGAAAAGAATACATAAAAATGGAAAAACCGGGTCTAATCTGAATGGGCCCCAGATCCGGATTATAGCAAATCCGCGTCGCTACGCTAGCGGTGGGCCCCACTAACGTTAGGCTTTGGTCTCTATTTTCTTCGAAGAGAGACTGCTTTTTATTTACTTCCCATTTAATTATAGGACTCTTGCTTTCTTTTCAATGTGAGAATAAAAATATCTGATTGGTTCCTAAGAACAAAAATTTTAATTCGAGTGTAGTCCCGAATCTTCTCCCTAAAACTTTCCAAATATATTTGTTTTGATTTATAAACTTTTAAAAATACTAATGTAATATCAATTAAGCAAAGTCGGATATCAAACAAAAATTATGTAGAGTTTGATTTTTGAGATTTGATCACTAGCCTTATACCACCACCAATCCGACTCTTGTCTCTGCACATCAATTTTCATCTCTATCAATTTGCTGTCGAGTTGTATGATTTTAATTTGATCTCTATAATTCTAGCATAATATTATTTTGGTCTCTATTACTTTCAAATTTTCAATTTAATTCTTATGATTCAATTAAATCCTACTTATTAAAAAAAAAGACCTTACCAATCATCCCTTATCTTCAGGTTTATCTTTATACATTAGGCAAAGATCCATTTAGAGTTCTGTCATTTATGATAGAAAAATAATAAAGGATTAAAAAAGTAAAAAGGACTACAAAACGTAATAAATTCATTGGTTTGAATTTCAAGGCCACCTGAAGTTGTTTACAGTTTGTTGAGGACTAAGTGGCTACTGCACTATCCTTTCAAATTCACTTTGTTGGATTGCTCCTTTGCATAAACCACCCTCTCCCTCTGTTTCTCCTCCCCCTTTTCTCCTTCTTCCTTCTAAAAGATAATGGAATTTGATAAATGTTACATGAAGGCTCAAATGCCAAAATTTGATTGTCTTCTTTTTGGTAAGCCTTCTTCTTTCACATTACAAGATTTTTTATATGGGTCACCCTAATTCACTCCAAAATCTGGAACCGAAACTTCATTTAAACTGACAAAAACTGAGCTCCAAAACAGAGTCATCACTATTTTTCACTTAAAACCTATGTGTTGTTGTGTTGTTCTTCCTTTCTTTTACCATCTTTTTCTTGCCATTTTCATTACTATTCAATTGCTGAAAAAGCAGAGAAGTTTAACATGTGTGTTTTAAAACCTGTAGATCTGGATGACACCCTATATCCTGTTAGCTCTGGTTTGGCAGCAGCTTGCAAAACCAATATACAAGGTTTCTATCTATCTGTTATGTCTGTTTTTGTCCTAAAATCGGACAATGCCCTCATTTTTTAAGACCTTATTCTCACCAAAATATGGTTCCTTTTCTTTTGCAGCTTATATTGCTGAAAGGCTTGGGATAGAGAAGAGCAAAATCCCAGAGCTGAATAACCTTCTTTACAAGAATTATGGAACAACAATGGCTGGTCTCAGGGCATGTTTTTTTTTTCTCCCTTTTTTTAGAGTTTTTTGTTCTAAAGAAGTGCTTTTGATTGTTTGAAGTACTTGTTCAAGTCGATGTTCTTTTTTGCTTCTATTTTGCAGGCTATTGGGTAATGGTAATCGCAGTTCGCAGCCTCCACTGTGTCAAACTTTCTCTTTCATCTGTAAAACTTGCTCTTAAGAAAAATTACCAATGTTCTTACCATCTCTATGTTCCATTCCATGTTTAACGGTTCATTGTTTTTCTAAAAAGTTCTTTTGTATTTTTCTTTTTTAGTTGTCAAACTCTCAATAGGAAATAAGTCTGCTACCTAAATATTTTCCTCACAAAACTACTATCTAGCCCGTGCCAATCGGGCAAATAGTCTATTGACCAACGGCTATAGTCGATTTTAAATATTAAGAATTTAATACGCATTGTAAAAATAATAATAATAATAATAATAATAAATAAATCTTTATTATTGATACTTTTAAGTAAATTTGAGCGATTTTAGACTAAAAATGAATAATATTTACGAAGGAGGCTCGTCGTACTAATATGATATTATATATCTTTATTTATATACTCGTGATCTAATTTTCTGTTTTTGACAGCTTTGTTCATGGGAGATTGCCTTATGACAATCTGAAACCTGATCCCATTTTGAGAGGCCTTCTGCTGAGCCTCCCCGTCAGGAAACTTGTAAGAATTCCCAAAAAAATGAAAAGAAAAAGAACTTCAAATTCAACCCTTTTATGTCTTGACTGTTCTCTTACAAACCACTCTCTGTTTTCTGTGTGGAAAAAACAGATCTTTACCAATGCAGACAGAATTCACACAGCCAAAGTACTTAACAAACTTGGATTAGAAGACTGTTTTGAAGGCATCATCTGCTTTAAAACCCTCAATCCCACTCAAAGAGGGCCTGTTTCTGCAGGTGAAAAACAGGATTCAAGCAGTGAAATCTTTGACATAATTGCCCATTTTTCTCAGCCAAGCCCTTTGATTGGGTTGCCCAAAACACCCATTGTCTGTAAACCATCAGAAGCTGCCATTGAATGGGCCCTCAAAATGGCAAATATTGACCCCCAAAGAACAGTAAGAAGATGATCATGATCTTGAAAATTATATTTTGTGGTAAAAAATTTGCTTGTGATTTTGATTTGTTTTGTTTTGTGTTGTTTTTTCAATTGTTTTTTGAAGATAGTGTCCGCAATCTTCAAGCAGGCAAGCGACTTGGGCTTCAAACTGTGCTGGTAAGTTACTGCTGAATGAAGAATTAGCTTTTCAAACATTTCTCTACTTCCAAGTTTCTGCAGACTGTAATTTTTTATTTTAGATAAAACTTTGATCTATATCACAACAAAATTCAATTGGAATCTACCCGCAGTTATCTTGCGTAAGTTGGTCAAGACACTTTTAGAAGTGCCATATAAAAAAATTGACATTAAAATTTTAATTAGTCATAAAATTACATTTAACCAATTCAGAAATTTTAAATGAAGACTCAATTCATGATCTTCTCTAGTTTTCTAATAATTTGAGTGATCCATTTTTCAAAACAAAAATTCATTGGAAATCTATTTGAGAAAAGTTCAACTATAGATAGCCTTCATTTTAGACTAAAAGAAGTCGTTCGTTCTAAATTTTAAATTTGATATTCATGAGAATAGTTAATTTCAATATACACAATAACATTAACTCTTACGAACCTCTCAAAGACCGTTGTGAAAACAAAAGCCGAGAGTTGTTTTACGACGAACAAAGCCTAAAGTTGTGTCCATAATTTTTGTGTAGGTTGGCACTTCCCAGAGAAGCAAAGGAGCAGATTATGCAGTTGAAAGCATCCACAACATAAAGGAAGCAATTCCAGAGCTTTGTGAAGTTGAAATGAAATCAGAAATCAATTACTCTCCCAATAATAAAGTAGCTGTGCAGACTTCTGTGACAGCTGTTGTGGCAGTAACTTTACTACATGGAAAAGGGAAAAGAATTTCACGGCTTTGATAGCCTATTTAAGGAGTCCTCCTCTTTGCTTTACGCATGAGTGAGTTTGTGGGTATCCACCTCTAGTCCAAATATTTTCTAATTAATTTCTATTTGGAAATTAGTTTTAGTGAGTTTAATATTAGCTTAGTCCGAACCAGGTAAGTTTTCTTTGTCCATTTTTATCTCTTTATAGTTTGCCATTGTCGTAATTGGATAGTTTATTATTATGGTGTGATTTGAGATTTGAGGATCTTTGTCATTATAACAAGTGGTATAAGATGTGATTTAATAGATTAGTTTGGTAATATCTTTATTCATGGTAAGTGTGAAGCATGAGATTCCACTTTTGAATCGCAATACTAGAGTTTTATCATGGCAAAATAAAATGTGGGTTGTTCTTGTCCAAGCGAATTACCTAGAAGAATCATTAATGAGATATAATAAGATGCATGCATTCTTAGATACAAGAGGAAAAACATCACAAAGATTGAAAAGTCATTACTCTAATAATTCATCTTCATTTGTCAAATGAATTTTGCAAGATGTTTTGAAGGAGAAAACTACAGTTAGATTATGGTTAAGGTTAGAGCAATTATGCATGACAAAAACTCTAACCACTAAATTGCATCTGAAGCAATGATTGTTTTTTCATCGTATGAGTGAATGAGCATCTTTAGATGAACATTGTTGGGAAAATAATGCAGTCAACTAATAATTATCTCAATCACAAATACATACAATATTTGTTAGTTATTCCTAGATCATATTCTGGTTCCAATTAAAATGAAATTCAAATCAAATCTGAACTTACAAATTAAAAGAATAAATAAAATAATCTAAAACTTCTACGCAACAAGAACGATAAATAAAAATTAGGGAGAGGAAAATTAAACGTCAGATTTATACTAGTTCACCAAATGTGAGCTATGTTCAGTTCTCTGCTACCGTTGTAGGTTCTACTAAAATGCTAGAGATAATCTCCCAAGAATTTACAAGTCCTAATTATTCTCTCAGCTTTCTTTCACACAGAAATGCTCAAGAATCACTCTACAAGTTTTTCAAACTCTCTAAAGGATACACAAGTATTTAGCTCTCAAACTCTCCCTTCTTGGAGAATTTCTCATGACTCTTTATTTGTGGTAATATTTTAAATGACTCATTGATAACTCTCCAAAAGAGAGTGTTTTTTTGGTCTAATTTGGGTAATTTTGATGTGTAAACGTAAGGGTCTGTGGTTAATTAGTAGGAAAAGAGAGGAATTGAGTGAAGAAGTCATCTAGATATATATTTAAATCCCTCAATGACCTTGAATTGAATAAGTATGAGCTAATTCTCTGATATTTTGAATTGTTTTTGCATATTTGAGGATGCCGAAGCTGGGTGCCATGAAGGCTGCTGTAGGAATGCTAGAGCTCGAGAAACGTCTCCATGTTGGATGCTCTCGCATCTGTTGACTGCATAGTAATTAACTTCTCTGTCCAATTCTTTAACTGTGTCCGTACAGCTTCTAGGTGCTGCCCTAAAAATCAGGATCTGGTATAAAAGTAAGTGGGAGCCCAGCCACATAGTAGAGGACAAAAAAAAAGGAAAGAATCATTTTTGGATAGAAATATAGGGAACATTCTTCACCCATTTCGAGGAATGAGCTAAAGAAGAAAGAGTTGGACCTTTCATCATCACTGAGCTGAGGGTTCTTCGCCGCTGCTGAAGCCCACTATTTTATTTTCTTTTATCATGAACTAAACCCCACCTTCGAGGGAGGGGGGAGGTGAGAGAATCACTTGTTGTAGCTTTCGAAGAGCGCGTTGTTTGAACTGCTTACATTGTTTATTTAATAGAGATATTTCAATATTTCCATCTTACTGATAGTGTTTGGCAAGTATTTTCAGTTTGTTAGCTCCTTTGTGACTTGGAAAAGTTTTTTTGATGCATGAAAACCTCTATTTGCATTAGACGATTCATCTCTTTGTAGTAGGACGGTGAGTACTCAAGGATGAGCTCTCCCTTTCGTGCCTATAAAATGTGCTTTAAAGTTTGCTTGGTCTCGGGAGTTGGGAATGAGCAATGTTTGGGAACATATTCAATTAGGGAGCTGGAAACATGTCTACCCAAGATGAAATTCACAACCACTCTATATTGGAAAGTGCAAAGTGTGTACTTCTCCTTATTGGGTGAGTATATAAGTGATTCTCTTGTAGTGCTGGTTCGAGGCTTGGATAACAGGGTACCCGTCTTCTTGATATCCCCAAGAAAAGCTTCTCGGTGCTGAGCAGTGCTCAGCGTCGACCCCGGGTCGGCCAGGTCGACCATGGTCGGCCCGGGCCGCTTGGTTTAGGCTTAATTTACCTGGTAAGCGCGTCTTGATCTTCCCTCCTATGGTTGGTTATTCTTTTTATCTTCCTATAACAATATAACAATTTACAAATCTTATTCTTTTTCTTTTTCTTTTTCTTTTCATTTTTGTGATTTAAGCCACATGAGACACAACAAACTTAAACACCTCTCTAACACGTGCCACTCTATTTGGACTTCAATAAAACTGATTTATTATTATTATTTTAGTCTCACTCTTTTGAATGATTGATTTGATGTTATAAATATATGGAATTAAACCAATTTAAAACAATTATGTTATTCGCTAGATTAAAACCTCCTCTAAATGAAGTTCAAATCTCTTGAAAAAACAAAGTGGGATGAAGAAAAGTGTGGAAACAAAACACCTTGAATAAACGCCAAGGAGAAGAAAAGTAGGGATGCCCAGGTACAGTTGTCATTTTTTGCCACAATTGTAGAACTGCCTTTGCCGCAATTAATTGGAGAAGAAAGAATCATTGTTATATATATTTATATACATGCATCTTTTTTGCAAAGAGAGGGAAAGGGTTAAAAACTTACATAAATGAACCCTTTATTATATACGAAACTGCTTCCAAAGTAAAGCAAACAAAAATCTCCCAGAATCATTTTGCAGAATATAAAATTGGAATCACTTTAAATGCCAAACTTTCTCTCAAACCTTCATCCCTGTATGTGTCTAAAGGTACATGCGAATTTGACAAATCTGACCCCAAAAATTTGTGGATTTGTTTAATTTGTTGAAAACATATTTTTCAAACATGACGAAAAACTCGGGCAGGTTCAAAGTAAACTTGCACGAACTTTATGAAATTCATCATAACTATTAGTATACAGGCGAGTTTTCATAATTTGGGGATCTCAGATAAGGTCACATTTTTAATATATACATTAAATGTCACATGCATGTTTTTTTAAATGTTACTATACAAACTAAAATTTTTTTTAGGTAATATGTGTCAATTTCCCAAGTTATATTATGTTATCATATGTGTCAACTTCGTCTTCTGAATCAATACCCACCTAAATAGATTATTAAGCCGTCAAAACCGGCTCAAGAAATGAATTTGAACAGAACATTGAAGCTGTAAGAAGAATATAGTTTAATGTTTTTTTGTTTTAAGTAAATTTTGTTTTTTAATTGAATCATTTTATTTTTTTTTATGTAAAATTAGTAATAAATCATAAACATATTCAGTAAAAAAAATTTGCTCCATTAAAAAAAAGGTTGGAACATAAACTCCACATAATGAACCTAATAAAAATATATTTAATATATTAATGACATATCACATCTTGTTAACATCATCTTAAAAATAATTATGATCATTAACTTTACATCAGCATTTCTTTAGGTGAATTAATTGTCTAACATAACCATTTATAACTATATTGCAAACCTCGACAGCTAAAATGTGATCCCCTCTAAAAATTCAGGGGTAAAATTGACACTCAACTCGAATCTTACAGATCAAAGTTGTATTTTACCCATATTCTTTAAAGTTTTTTGGAGGATAATAAAAGTGGTGAGTGAGTATGGCCTATACTATAATAATATTATTAGCTTTTATTTGCAAATAAAGAGAAATTAGGAAAATAAGTTACACACTGAATGTAAGAAAAAAAAAAGTTACATAAGGAAGAATGTAAAATATGGAAACTGCAAGTACAAAGGCTGAAAATAATGGTTTGAGGGTATTCCTAAAAAAAAATAATAATAATAATAATAATAATAATGGTTTGAGGGTAAGGTAAGTAATGAGAGACCAGACGTAATTTCACAAAATGACATAAGATAGAAATCTTAAGTTTCCTTAAATTAAAAAAGGAAAAGAAATATTAAAAATCTTTTAAGTTTCGTGAAAACATGTTAGATATCATAAATGAATTAAATTTACCAAACCTATCAACTTAAAGCTTTTGAGTTGAGTGGTAGTTTATCAATCGTCACACCTAGTCTCACCCCCAAAACTCTCGTCGATCGAATTCGGTGCAACTGCCGCTCAGATCTGCCACAAAGCTGCCCCGCAGCCCCCTTTTCAAGCTAGATTCAAGTTAGGAGGTTTGACAAAAAAATATAAAATGTACAATAAAAAAAAAAGTTGGTTTGGTGAATATTGATCGACCAAACTAACCGTGGGTTCGATCTCAGCAGAAGCTTCACCTATTTGGTCGATCGGTTGGTGGGAGTTTTAGCCTCGAAACTGATCGAACCGATCAAAGTAGACCCCTACTTAGGTCCACATACTAGTGAAAACATATTTCTATGCTGCCCACCATTAAATCTCATATTTGCTTTTGAATTTCTCCCTCTTAATTTTCATAGTATTTTTCCTTTTAAAAGTGTGGTTTTTCGTAGTTTAAACCCTAGCCTCCAACGTACACCAACGTAAACATGGAAAATTTACAGCTTGCGCTAGCTGGCGGTTATTTATTTATTTTAAAATTAAATTGTGTGCGCGCGCGCTACTTAATAGAAGAAAATCACAGAGTTCTTAAGCATTGCAACTGCAATTTGTTAGTAATAGGTAACAGGCATGGGTTCAAAAAAGCCTTACATTGCCGCAGTTGTGGTCCAACTTACATTCGCCGGCATGAATCTGATGTCGAAGGCTGCTTTTACGTCGGGCATGAGCAGCTACGTCTTCTTCTTCTATCGCCAAGCCGCTGGAACCATTCTCTTGATCCCCCTCACCATTTTTTTTCAAATGGTACCCTACCCTCAACCTAGCTCTTTATTTATTAATTCATCTCTCATCACATAGAATATAATATATGCAAATTTTAATTAATTTGTTTTCGTTTCAATTTTCTCATGATCTCCTCGAAGGAGGGC